AAAAGTAAATGGGATAGGGAGAAAAGGAACGCCAGGAGGACAGGCTTGCGTCGAAGTTGACGACGGTGACCCATCCCAGTGGTAGGGAAGGGCGAGGAGGAAGAACCAGGAAAAGAACGAGAGGAGGAGTAGAAAACTGAAGACGAATGAGGACGATGGCGGCGAGAAAGAGAGAAAAAATGGAAGTTAGGAAGGCGAAAGGAGAAGGGAATTAACAAGTGGGAAAGAGGAGGGAGAAGAGTGGCCCGCCCTCCATGTGTGCCGAGATCCGGCTAGCTGTACCACCATGCTGGTATTATTGATTAAACGGAAAGTGTATTTTGCCTAAATGGACATTAATGTGATTACTCGGCTCAGTCCGTGCACGGCGCGAGAGAGCGCCTTCACCTGCTGCCTCCTGCGAGTTGGCTGGCCCGCTGAGGCGCTTCGGCCGGGAGGGAGGCTGCCTGGCCGGCCGGCGCGCGGCCCTTGTCTGCGTGCATACGGTTGTGATTGGAACTTTTGTGTGCAGATAGATGCACTAATTAGATGTATGTGTGTATGGTCTCCGTATTGCAGGATGCATGTACAGGTATGCCTATAAAGCTGCAAATGTGGCTGCTCCACGATGTTTGTTCCTTTTTCCTCTGTAGTAGATTTATATATAACAGTGAGACAGACATCAGAAAGATTATGGAGGACATGCAGACAAGATAAGAAAGAGCGAAAGCCAGTGCTCGACAGGCCGAGCGGCGCTGCCTCCTGCCGTGAGGACGGGACCAAGCCTGTAGGAGCGAGTGAGGGAAGGAGGCTGATTGTGTGCGAGTATGACCGAGAAGGCAGTTTTTGTGGCGTGTGTGTTATTGAGTGGAGGGTCGCGTGATGCCAGGATGGCCCGCTGCCTCTAACACGGGCGTCCTCCTGCTCGCGCGCACGCCCCCCCCCCTCCCCTACCCCCTCTCCTACCCTACCTTCCCCACCCCCTCTCCAACCCTGCCTTCCTCACCCCCTCTCCAACCCTGCCTTCCTCACCCCCAGTGTGCAAGCTTCTGCTGGTGCTGTGGTGCTGCTGATCGCCCTAGCCTCTTGTATTTCGCCACTCGCCCTGTAGCGGGTCCCTCTCTCCCACCCGCCCGCGCTTTTCCTCTTTTCGGGTTGTTGCTCTTTGCCACGCCTTCCCCTTGTTTTTTTTCCTGGTGGTTCTTGTTTCTGATTCCAATTTAAACTTTTTCCATAGACCCCCCTTTCTTCTCGCCTTTCTTCTCCCAGTTTTATTGTTCCTTAGGTGAATGGGGAAATGTACCACTAACATTAGTTGACTCTCTGTTAGATTTGAAGAAAAGGAAAGCTTACACAAGGAGTGTTGTGTGCTGTGTGAAAGAGAAGAGGGTGGTAGAGTGGGGGTAATGGTGTGAGAGGGGCTAAGGAAATTAGGCAGGAATGGAGGTAGGTAGGTAGGTAGGTAGGTAGGTAGGTAGGTAGGTAGGTAGGTAGGTAGGTAGGTAGGTAGGTAGGTAGGTAGGTAGGTAGGTAGGTAGGTAGGTAGGTAGGTAGGTAGGTAGGTAGGTAGGTAGGTAGGTAGGTAGGTGATGCTCTGTCCCCTCACGCCCCGCTAAACTTTGCCGATCCGTTGCCGTAGAAACGGTCATTCCAGTCCCGTTCCACGGACTCCCTATCTACTCAGCCGTCTTTCTACCCCTATACTGCCTGCCTACCTACCTACCGACCGACCTTCATACTCTCCTGCTTGTCCACTGCCCTTTCTAGCCTCACTGCTTGCATGTGCTTCCATCGGTCTGTCTTACTTTGCCGCTTTGCCTTTCCGTCTGTCCGCGTGTCTTGCTTTGTGCCTGTCCCTGATACCCGGATTGATGGATGGGCTTCGCTTCAGGCGCTCGTATCAACGTGCAAACTCCCACTCGTCCCTCCCCTGCCCCTCCCTCCAAGCCGCTTTGACTTTATTACATAGAGGGCGAGGTAGCTTGTTTTTGGAATATTAGGCGTGGGGAGAGGCAGAATAGGAAGGGAAATGGGCAGAGATAGAGAAAGAAGGAAAGAAGAAAAAAGGTAGGAGTCTAGTCGCCAAACTGAATAGCGATTTATGGGCATTGGCATTGACTTGAAGGTGCGTACAGGAACGTTTCTGCTCGCCGACGGCACCTTGATACCTTTAGGAAGCGCGGGACGTACTGGGGTTCGTGAATGACAGACAGACACACACACACACACACACACACACACACACACACACACACACACACACACACACACACACACACACACACACACACACACACACACGCGCGCGCGCGCGCATATATATATATATATATATATATATATATATATATATATATATATATATATATATATATATATATATATATATATATATATATATATATATATATATATATATATATATATATATATATCTGTATATGTATATGTCTACATGTATGAGCGTGTGCATGAGCGTGTGTGTATTTGTGCGTATTTATTAATAAAAAGGTAGAACGCTACTCTTGTTGTATTAGAAAAATCTGAAACACACACACACACACACACACACACACACAAATACATATTTATATATATATATATATATATATATATATATATATATATATATATATATATATATATATATATATATATATATATATATAAACAAAAAAATAATCACGGTTATATTAATATCTCGGATAAAATACGAAATATTATTCTTCGAATGCAATGGAGTGTTGATTCCAGTAGCAAAAGCAGAGCACGGTTTTGAATCATGTAACAAGTGAAATAGAATAGTTTCCCATTAAGACGAAAGCGATACTGAAACTGTCGGCAAATCTCTAATTCCGATTTTCCTTACAAGCCCCGCGTGATACTGCATTTTGAGTGTTTCCATTTCCTAATCATCTGTCGTACCTTGCACACGTTTAGTGCATGATCGGTTATGACGCGCAAAGTTACTTTGCCGTCAGCCAACAAGCACCGGCGGTCGGGCGACGCTGTTATGTCACGGGCCGGAAACCGGGATGGACTTTGCCATCGTCATATGTGTGTGGGTTTATTTACTTATTTATTTGTTTATTTGCATTAGTATTTGTGTTTGCCTTTTTTTTTCTTTCTTTTTTCTTTTTTTTCTTTTTTTCTTTTTCTTTTCTTTCTTTTCTTTTTTATGCATGCTAGACAACCTGTCTAACCTCTGTGAAGTCATGCACAAGATTTGAGTGTGATTTAGAATTTTATGTTGTGTGTGTGGGAATTCAAGTGCATGTCTATGCTTATTTGTAAACTGTGTGTGTGTGTACCAAGTGGAAAAGCATTTACATGGCCGAGGTAATCTTGAAAAGTGCTTTTTTCCTCACTCTTCAGTCTTTCCTCGCCTCTTCGACTTGCTTCTCAGTGCCCAACATAAGAATTTTACTGCCTCCCATCTCACTTGCTCCTCTTATTCTGTCCCATTCTTCCCTATTCTCTGGCCCTGTATACACTCCCCTTCCTCTTTTTCTATACCACCTCCACATCCTCATCCTCATCCTCATCCTCATCCTTATCCTTTTAGACCTCCATCCCTTCCTCTTCCTCCACCTCCTCTGCTCAGCCTCCATCTCCCCCCCCTTCCTCCTCCTCATCCGAGAATAAAGGTGGATTTTTTTTCCAAGAATAAAAAGTGTGCTTTTTATATTCTGCCTTTTTTTTCTGTGAAAGTTAGTTTTCTTACCAATTTCTTAATATTTTAAGAAAAAAACATAAACGAAAAAGGCAATTTGAACTAGAAATATGCTTGGATACATGGTATTCGATAAGGTACTTTGAGAGGGGAAAATAGAAATTGGTATTCAAGACAGATGGGAATAAATTGAATAAAAAAAACGTATTAGAGGTGGGATGAAGGGAGTGTAATGTACAAAGAAATAGAGAGGCTAGTCATGATTCTTGCAGGAAGTTTACATATCATTATCTGCCATTATCTCTCTCTCTCTCTCTCTCTCCCTCTCCCTCTCCCTCTCCCTCTCCCTCTCCCTCTCCCTCCCTCTATCTCTCTCTCCCTCTATCTCTCTCTCCCTCTCCCTCTCCCTCTCTCTCCCTCTCCCTCTCTCTCCCTCCCCCTCCCTCTCTCTCTCTCTCTCTCTCTCTCTCTCTCTCTCTCTCTCTCTCTCTCTCTCTCTCTCTCTCTCTCTCTCTCTCTCTCTCTCTCTCTCTCCTCCCCCCCCCCCTCTCTCTCTTTCTCCCTCTCCCTCTCCCTCCCTCTCCCTCCCCCTCTCTCTCTCTCTCTCTCTCTCTCTCTCTCTCTCTCTCTCTCTCTCTCTCTCTCTCTCTCTCTCTCTCTCTCTCTCTCTCTCTCTCCCTCTCTCCCTCTCTCCCTCTCCCTCTCCCTCTCTCCCTCTCTCTCTCCCTCCCTCTCCCTCTCCCTCTCTCTCTCCATTTCACCCTCCCCCCCCCCCATTCTCTTCAGGGGCTCTTTGCCATGACTTAGAAATGCTTATACTAAAAATAGAAGGCATCAGAGGTATGCTTGCATATTTGTGCAGAGTAAAGGTGAGGCAGCTGGACCCCTTCCCCTTTCCTTCTCCCGTTTTACCCTTACCTCTTCCTGTCTTCCACTTCAGTTTCCCAACTCATCTGAGAGAAGGAGGAGGAAGAGAGGGAGAAAAAGAAAGGGGGAGAGGGAGAGAGAAGGAGAAGGAGAGGGGGAGAGGGGGGAGACATGTGCACGCGAGAAAATCAGCGCTCTCAATTTTGGTCTCATTAGTCCAATTTTATCATATTGCTACTTGTGCATACTGTTGCAAATGCAGATCTTTGTACATTTTGTGCTGGTTATTTTGTTAGTTTTTTTTCCTTCCTTTCTTTCTTTCTTTTCTTCTTTTAGGCACTTATTATATACCAGTATTATTGCTTAGTCCTTTTTTTTTTTTATTGAGATTGGATTGTTTCTTCCTCTTCTTGAATTTGTGATATTTATATATACTTATATTTTACTGAAGGTCTGACCAGTTTGATTTCCTTCCCACCAGGTGCCTTAGACGAAGATGAGAGTGAAGGTGAAGGGGGTGATTCTGGGTCCACTATTGTAACTCCAGCTGGTGAGGTCCTCAACTCAGGGGAGCGCCATCAACTTCGGCACCGCGAGCTCTTCCTCTCCCGACAGATAGAAACCCTCCCTGCCACGCACATAAGGGGCAAGTGCACTGTCACGTTACTCAACGAGACAGAGTTGCTCTTGGCCTATCTCAATAAAGAGGTGAGTAAATGTTGATTTTTATTATAACTTGATAGTCTGTTTTGTTGTGATATCAAAGTTTTAATTCTAAAATTGAGGTTCAGAAATCTGTGGGGTTAATATTGTTAAAAGATTCATTAAAGATGTAAACATCTTTCCTTTTTCTTCTTCTTCCCTTTACCTTTCCCTTTCCCTTTCCTCTCATCTTGTCATATGAATCCATAGGTTGTGAAGGTGAAGAAGAATTAATATATTTGTCTGTTTCATTGCAGGATACTTTCTTCTACTCTCTTGTATATGACCCTCAGCAAAAGACATTGTTAGCAGATAAAGGTGAAATTAGAGTTGGTTCAAGATTTCAAGCAGATATTACAAACCTATTAAAAGAAGGTAAATCATATGGTGTCCTTGACATGTGTTGGTTAAATACAAGGCCACTAAAATACCAGGTTATTCCACCAGCCTCCATTAGTGCTGGCGATGATGGCAGCTGCAGTGGTATCTCAGGATACAGATATTTCATTTGCTAAATGGCAGTTTTCATTCCTTTTCAGTCGTAGACATTTAAAAAGTAAAGCATGAATTCAAGGAGATATGAATTTCAGTAAATATATATCAAATTTACTACAGGCAAAGTGATTTTATCTTGAGCAGCTCAAGCCTGAAATTGCCCAAACAGACCTTGTTTTGTATTGGCTTTGTGTTAGATGTATGTACTATTTAGTGATGAGTAATGATGAATGTGTTTCTGTATATATTATGAGTGGTTGATTATTTCTGATGATATGTTAGGTACTCATATTGAAATTCATATGTATATTATTTTGGTATCTAATCTATTATCTATTATCCATCTATTATCTCTAGAAAATATATTCCATATTGATATACCACTTTTACAGGAGAAAGTGATGGTCGTAATATGGAAGAATTAGAAAGTCTGGTCTGGACCCCATACCATGGTTTAACAGACCGCCAAATAGACCAGTTCTTAGTGATGTCACGGTCAGTAGGGACTTTTGCCAGAGCCTTAGACTGCTCATCATCAGTCAAGCAGCCATCACTGCATATGAGTGCGGCAGCTGCATCGAGAGACGTCACATTAGTAAGTATTGCTATGTTAAAGTTTACTTAAAATCGAGATCCAAATATGATTCCAGACATTTTTGATCTTGTAATAATTAGGAAATTTAACATAACTGGTGAGAGAAAAGCGCAAGAGCAACACTAGTGATCAAAGATAAGTGTCCAGCATAAAGTTTCAGCATATTTTCTCTTCCAGTTAACGGTTTACTCCATCCAGTCTTCAGTTTTACCAGTAACACATTTTCTAAAAATTGCAATTTGTCTCTTTCCAGTTCCATGCCATGGACACTTTACACAAGCACAACTATGACATCAGCCAAGCATTATGTTCCCTAATACCTGCCACGGGGCCTGTCCTCTGTCGAGATGAGATGGAAGAGTGGTCAGCCTCTGAGGCAAACCTGTTTGAGGAAGCCCTTGAAAAGTATGGCAAGGATTTCAATGACATCAGACAAGATTTTGTAAGTTCTGAGTCCTTATATTTCTTAACATTCTTTTTATGTTATATATATGAAATTGTAATGATAATGGCTATGGATTTTGCTGTCTATAAATATAGTTTTTTATTGATTAATGTGCTTCTCCTCCACCCCTTCTCTATAGCTGCCTTGGAAAACTCTAAAGAATATAATAGAGTACTACTATATGTGGAAAACAACAGATAGATACGTACAGCAGAAAAGAGTGAAGGCTGTTGAGGCAGAGTCCAAATTAAAGCAGGTTTACATTCCTAACTAGTAAGTATTAGAAATAGAGAAACTGTGTATTTTTATTAATTTGGTAGTGTATATGATATGGGAATTAATTCATAATAGTAATTGTGTTTATTATATATATATATATATATATATATATATATATATATATATATATATATATATATATATATATATATATATATATATATATATATGTATGTATATGTACATTTTGTATGTGTGTGTGATTGATTGATTTCATTGTATATGAGAATTTGAGGTTGGTAAACGAAGTACTCAAATTTTACACGCAGAGAGTAGATTTTGAAGTCACACCTTGAGCAAGAATTGATTGTATGTTACCTTAGTGGGAGAAAATAGAACCCTCTTTCTTTTGCAGTAACAAGCCAAATCCAGCAGCTCTCTCCAACGGTAAAACATCGATGGTGAATGGAAATGGAACTGATGTGTCTGTATCTGGCAAGGCCTGCGAGTCCTGTCATAGTAAGATGCCCTAGGTTTTGTATAATAGCTGATCCTAATTTCTCTCTTGATTATTATTCGAATTACGTGTGGATTATATTTTTCAGAATATTTATGTAAATTGTACTATTAGTTTGTAAAATTAAATTTATTGTGAGAAGATATGTGAACAGGTCATGATCAAATATCAACTTTATTCCATATATTTGCTATTCATGATGATATTTAGTTTTGTTCTCATTGTCTTGCCTAGTTAATATCACTTCATTTTATATCTTTAACATTCTCTTTTGTTGTTATTATTATTATTATTCTTTTCTTGTTCGCATTCCTTCATCCCCAAAAATGTGATGTTTCCAGCAACAAGCAGCAGTCAGTGGTATGCCTGGGGCCCATCTCACCTCCAGTGCCGACTATGTAACTCTTGCTGGCAATACTGGAAGAAGTTCGGAGGACTAAAGCTTCCCTCCCGCATAGGCAGAGAAGAAGGTGGGTGGGAACAAATATTTTTTTGAGGGGAATGAATAGGTTTAGGAGATTTGAATTGTTATTTTTCTTTTCTTATGTTTAAATCAATCTCTCATTCTCTCTCTCTCTCTCTCTCTTTCTTTCTCTCTCTCTCTCTCATTTTCTCTCTCTTTCTCTCATTTTCCCTCTCTGTCTCTCATTTTCCCTCTCTGTCTCTCATTTTCCCTCTCTTTCTTTCATTTCTCTCTCTCTCTCTCTCTCTCTCTCTCTCTCTCTCTCTCTCTCTCTCTCTCTCTCTCTCTCTCTCTCTCTCTCTCTCTCTCTCTCTCTCTCTCTCTCTCTCATTTTCTCTCTCTTTCTCTCATTTTCCCTCTCTCTCTCTCATTTTCCCTCTCTGTCTCTCATTTTCCCTCTCTGTCTCTCATTTTCCCTCTCTTTCTTTCATTTTCTCTTTCTCTCTCATTTTCTCTCTCTCTCTCTCTCTCTCTCTCTCTCTCTCTCTCTCTCTCTCTCTCTCTCTCTCTCTCTCTCTCTCTCTCTCTCTCTCTCTCTTTCTCTCTCTCTCTCTCTCTCTCTCTCACATTCTCACATTCTCACAATGTCTCTATCTTTCTATCTATATTTTAGTTGTAGAACCATTGGCAATTTATGTATAGGACGGCTATTGATTTTGGATCTTCAGTAGGTGAAAAGTTTGTAGATTTATTTTTCCTCTTCTCTCTCTCTCCCTATTTTTATTATTATTTCTTCTTCCCATTTTGCATGTGCCTAATATAACTAAGCGTGTTTAACAATCACTGTACACTAACCATCTCTCTTGTCTCTCTCTCTCTCTCTTTCTCTCTCTTCCTCACTTGTGCATTAACATTTTTTTTTATTTATTATTATTTTTTTTTATCCTTTAATTTTTTTTTCTTTCTTTCTTTCATTTTTATTATGGGACATCAGTCAATTTTGAAAGTATCTAGATAACTTGAGATTACTTTCTTGTAAATGAAACGCATGTGTGGTTTTCACCCTTGTTTGACTTAGGATCTCTTGCTTGGTGATATTTCAAGTAATTGCCTCATACATGACATAAACTGAGCTGTGAAAAGAAAGCTCTTGTGTTTTCTTCACTCTTGTCTTGCTGTAACAAAACAGCAGTTTATTGATTAATAAACAAACACATACTCATTCACATGCTTGGTTACACTCACTCTCTCTCTTCTCTCTTCTCTCTTCTCTCTTCTCTCTTCTCTCTTCTCTCTTCTCTCTTCTCTCTTCTCTCTTCTCTCTTCTCTCTCTCTCACACACACACACACACACACACACACACACACACACACACACACACACACACACACACACACACACACACACACACACACACACACACACACACACACTCATTTTCTACATACATATATGTACATATTTACACACACACTCACTCTCACTCTCTCACTCTCTCACTCTCTCACTCTCTCTCTCTCTCTCTCTCTCTCTCTCTCTCTCTCTCTCTCTCTCTCTCTCTCTCTCTCTCTCTCTCTCTCTCTCTCTCTCTCTCTCTCTCGCTCTCTCTCTCTCTCTCTCTCGCTCTCCTCACACTATACATACACATACAAATTTGGACACACACTTCATTGAAAACTAAGACAAAAAGAATCCAGCAGACTTTATGTAAACTCTTAATGGTATGATACTTGAAGTGTTGAAAATATTTTCACTGACTTGGTTATGTCATATATATTTGTGTTCTTATTTCTGATACTTTTTTTTGTTATTTCATTTCATCACATGATAACCAAGGGTTAACCAAGAATACCTCAAAAATAAAGAAAACATTTAGAAGAAACCAATATAATTTTTATAATTTATTTATTTATTTATTTTTTTTTTATTATTATTATTATTATTATCTGCTGTTGTCTAAAAGAGAGAGAGAAAAAAAAAATAATACATATAAGATGATAATAATATTCATCTTCTGCATTGCATCATCTGCTCTGTATTCCCTCTAATTGACTCCCTAACCTCCGTCCCTCTCTCCAACCACCATAGCTGATATTGACAGTGAAAGTGGAAGAAAAAGTGCTGATATTTTTGGGGAAGGTGAGCAGAACCAGGGTACTTACTCCTCTGTGCATGTTTATTGTGTCTTGTTATTATGATTCCCGTTAACGTGGTGATTTGGGGGGGGGTTTGCTATTTTGCCGACCCCTCGGTGGATTTTGTTGGGTTGTTTGTTTATTTATGTTTTCTTTTTCTTTTCTGTGATCATTTATTGATGAAGTTTTTTTTTTTTTTTTTTTTTTTTCTGTCGTATTATTATAATCACCGTCATTTTGAATGGTACTGATACTGTAATTGCTGTTAATGTGGTTGTTAATGGACTTTTTTTTTTTTTTTTTTTTTTTTTTTTTTTTTTTTTTTTCATAAATTTTAGTTATTGTTACTGTTATTGTTACAGTTATTATTATTATTGTGATTATTTTGTTTATTATTATTATTTTGTTATCATTATTATTGTTGTTATTAT